AAGTCGAGCACTGGGGGGAGACTCTAGGTATACGGGTTGGGAACACAAGGCGAGAGCCTTAAGGAGCCTAGATCAGCAGTACAATTAGTAGAACTGCTATGTTACACAGGCGTGACAGGCCAATGTAAATAGTAGTTGGAGAAGCAACGGGAGGATGCTGGGACAGCTGGTCTTGTCGTTCGCGATAGGGCGACGTGGGGCGGGACGGATCAATCAAATGATCCGGAACGCGTCGGCTGTTTGACAGGTCCTCTCTGCCGGGCATAGCTGCGGAGTAATCGCGGCTGAAACCGTGTAGGAATTAACTAACTAACTAACTAACTAAGCTTCCCGGCCAGCCTCAAATTTCAAACCAACTTTTTGAGCTATACCAGCTTGTCAACTATTACTATTCGCCCGTTGATCATGCCTCTTAAGGCACAAGCACGCAATAAACCCTTGACTCGACCTTGCCGTCTTACAGGCCGCATTGGACCCAAATTCTAGTCATTCAAATTGGGGAAGTTCATATCACTATCTCACGGGCTGATGATCCTTTCGGCGAATCAAGACCTTGATCTGGCTCATCTCTGTGTTCAGGAATCTTCCTCTGAGGGGGTGATGCGTTTGCTTCTTTCTGGCGTATGACAGGTAGCTTACGAGCGATTTGCTAGTTCACCATGGGGCTTGGCTATGTGCACCAAGCCCTATCTGCAGTCATGTCGTATCTAGACGGCAGAACGACATTTGCCACACTGAAACATTGCTAATTCCTGACCCTGGGGACCCGATTCTGCAGCTCTGTGGCAAGTTCACAAGCTGCTAGGTTTCATGGAAGCCTAGTGGACACTGACTCTACATACACACGGGCCTCAACTCTTGGACCTATCCTACGTTGTGGTTGATGTCACCCCCAAACTTTTGGAGCTTGAGACAGTAGTCGAGAGCGCAGACATCCCATTTCTGCTACACCCTAGTAGGTCAGTTCGCCAGTAACTTGATTGTAGAGGGCAAAGCCTGTCATATCATGCATGCAAAGTGGCCGTTGCTAATAGCCTCATCTTGATATATCATATTTCTATATCAAAGACTGCCGTACGTTCCACGCATCTTGCTTTCTAAACCTTCTTTCTCAGTTTGCTTCTCAGCAAGATCGGTCTACCCCCCACTTTCTTAGTATGAGCCGGTACATAACTATGACCCAAACTCATGATGACACGAACATCATCGAGCAAATCGCCATTCTCCTCAGAGCCAGACACGATCAATGGGAAAGCGCCTTACCGGCTGCCAGAGGCTGTATCGCTTCACTTGATGCCAGACTGTGGATGCAGAGTCCCGTGCCATTGAAAGACAAGATATATACGATTGAGGTGTTACAAAGTTTAGCGTTCGCTGATGCGGACTCAGGAGGTGTGGACGATATTGCCAACTGGTGTCTATACCAGCTCATGGCCCTGCTATACCACTCACCCAATGACTCGGCCATCCTCAGAGGTAAATCGCCAAGACCGGATTAGAGTATGGCTGACAGGCTCAGACATAGGACAGAACTGGTTGCAACGTGCACAACCTTACCTAGCGGCCATTCACATTCAATATAGCACATCATCCAGTTCTAACAGCACTCGAAGCAGTACTCATGGATTAGTTCTCACCGCGAGCGAGGAGGAACGCTTGAATGCCGCGACAATGGCGGAAGCGGAAGAAAGACTGCACACAAGCAACTACGTAGAGGCTCGAGGCATTCTCGTACCAGCCACAGAATACTTCAGTCGTGCAGTGGAAGCCTCACAACGCTTGGGGTCGCTATCTGGGCATCTCCTTATTGAGGTATCTGTTCTCTGGTAGGCTCACTTTCAGTCGAGACGCAACACTAAATCCTACGACAGGCAGCTGAAGCTTTCATGAGCTTGGGGAACGTCTCTTATTCGAGAACGAACGAGCAATACTTTCGTAGGGCCATCCATTATCTGCGTATGGCAACAGCCATGCCGACTTTCAATCTACCAGCGCATCTTCAACAGTAAGCAGGGCCTCAGCTGGTCCTCAAAACACGTACTCATTGTGGCGCAGATATTTGGATGACTATGGTCGATTTGTAGACTGATCTACACTTCCAGTATGTTCCATGAATCCGGATAGTCTAATAGCGTGGAGTCAAGGGATTGGTCAGTGATCAGATAGAAACTCAATGAGCGCGTTTAGCAATGCGAAAGCGCACAAGCAATTGCCGTCGAGGTGGTATTATTCCTGGGCATGAACTGGTCCTGTATGTATTAATTATCGAACATATCTCTTCTCGATCCTAGAGAACATGTCCCAGTAATTTTAGAAGTGGTGCTTCCATTGCTGCTCGACATCGAGGTTGACGCACGTTGTTCCCAGATGTTCAATTGACAGAAGACGTCTTGAAGCGAGGGAGACTTGGAGTTTTCAGCCTTAGCACGCTATACCCTGATGAGCTAGTATGATCGGTAGAGTCGGCACCTACGGACATCCGGATTGCTCGAAGTCACTCCGAGTCATTCGCAACACCAACGACCACACATCATCAGGTACCAGCGATCCGCAAACTTTACCCACACAGAAACTCGCGGTATCTCAACTCTGACTCCCACTCGCTGATCGCCTGACCTCGTCTTACGTGTGAGACACCCTCAGCTTATAATCCGGAACAGCCTAGCTTCTCTTTGTTTAAAAGGCTCGATCTGTTAAACTCATCGCAAACGAACCCCGTTCGGCCTCGCCGATTGAAGGCCTCCCACCGCCTCGAGAATAATTGCCACCATCATGGATGAGCGGGAACTAGCAATCGCGCCCATCGTGGGTGACAGTATGCAGCACAACCACAGGGTATGTTCACACTGTACGACAGGATACACGCACCACAATTCTTCGAAAATGCTCCAATGCCCCTTCATCTTTGACTGCATCTGCCAAAACCTGTGCTTAACAGCTGCCCCCAATGAGACCTAATCCATCGTAGACCATATCCAACATCCGCAGCCTAACAGCCTCTCTTTTCGGTGTCGCGGCCGGTACTCTTGGTCTGGAATCCTACCCCGGCTTCATATTCTACCTCGTCGGTACCTTCATAGTATCTGCCCTCATATTTGCGTTACGTATGGATGGCCAACCTGGGAAATACTTCTATCGGCCACTGAGCGAGTTCTGGATTGGAGACGTCTTTGGGGGAGCAATGAGCTTTATATTAACGTGGACACTGTTCTTTGGTATTGTCCAAGCGTGAGGACCCAACGGAACAAAGCAATAGAGAGGTAAATTGTACAATATGGGAGGTCAGATGAGAGTCGAGTCTCGACTTCCGCACAGAGACCTGTGGAGCAAGAGAAGACCTTAAAAAACGCCAGAGCTCAGAACATACGAGGCAAAAAGCCCAAGACGAAACGCATGTAGCCGTTTGGTACATTTCTATGCGAAGGCAATACGGCTCGGAATCACTAATACATTGTGGCCGCATAGAAGCCTGCAAAATATCATGAAATACCCTGCACAGATTTGATCGTCACAACGTTATCATTTTCGTTCGAGGATGATGTACGAGGTTATACCTATTCGGTCCAAATCTTTATTTCACGGCTTTTTTAGTCATGAATTGAGTTTACACTCACCGCAATCGACACAGTCCAAAAGTACACGTTGATCGCGTTATTTTCCGACCTCCGACCCTACCTGTCTTTGTCCGTGGGCTCGCACAAGAGCAACGACAAGCCTGATCCTCCTCCAGGCAGTAACTAAGTACGCCTTCGGAAAACACATACCTGGAGAGATAAAAGCCGGTGGTACGCCATTGTGCGTATACACGACTACACGTCAGCCATCGTGTCGGTGAGGTAGTGGCTAGAATCGCTCAGGTGGTTGGGAATCACAATAAATCTGCTATACGTTGCATCATTACCTGACCTATCTCATCCGTATCGTGGTCTCTCCTTGTTATTGCGCACGATTGTCCTCTCTACCGTTCGATCCGCATGCGATTGCTTTGCCAAGCGTTCCATCCTTTTCAACTCGCCTAGCCCTTTCTGCGATAGTGATCTTGCTTTCAGTGAATTATCGATGCATTGTCGGTCATAGTCAAGATCTTCCTACCAGAACTTGTAAATGACGCGTACTGAGCACGTTGTGTCATGTGGTGCTGAGGGAGACTTCATGCCTACGAACCTCAACATTAACTTATAATTCCCCAAATATCGTTTCTGTCCCTACGAATCTGCTCGAGAGATCACTGTATACTGTATCTCAACTCTACCTACCTGACTCCTATGCATCTTGGAAGAACTCATACTCGACTTACGAACCAGTCACCTTGACTACGCACTTCTTACTGGATCTTGTTTGATTCACGCGCCGACGACACGATGCAAACCAAGTCAACCACCATACTTGTTCTTGCCATGCTGGCCATGAGCTGCACAAGTAGTATGACCAAGCGGAAACTTCGCACAGATACCATGATGGACGTAATACCTCTCAAATTTCGACGAACAGCACAGTCGATCGCGCCTACACCGACTCAGGAGACATGGAGAACAGTCTACACCACAGTCTCAACATACATCCATTGCACCTCCAAAATCTCTGATCTGGCTCCTGCGGCCACGGTCACTATCTCAAACGACCCCAACCAGCTCCCAGGGGGATTCATCACGACGACAGTCCAGCCCCGAGCAGAATCCTCAACGAGCATCACCATCAAGACATCAACACCACCAATGTCTTCCAGCCAGCAAGCCAACACAGCGCAACCACCATCATCTCTCGAGCAAGCAACCACACCTATCCAATCCCCCAGCCCCTCACCAACCCCCATTATCCCCACCACACCCTCAGATCCCGCATCCCCAACAAGCGCACCGCCTACAGCCCCGTCACAACCCGCCAGCCCAGCCGCACCAGCCCTCTCCCTCCCCTCCGCCTCCGACACATCCACCCTCCACACCGGCGATCTCACATACTACGACCCCGGTCTCGGCGCCTGCGGCATCACCTCCGCCCCCACCGATCCCATCGTCGCCATCTCCCACGATCTATTCGACGCCTACATGCCCGTCGGCGCATCCAATCCAAACCTAAACCCACTATGTGGGCGCGAGATTGAGATTTTCAGGAATCCAGCTGGTGGTGTTGCTGCCGGGGTTGCTGATGGGAATCCTGACGGGGGTGTCAAGACTATGATTGTCAAGGTGGTGGATCGCTGCACGGGTTGTGCGCCGACGGATCTGGATGTGCCGAAGATGGTGCATGAGTTTTTTGTTGCGGATTCGACGTTTGAGGGCCGTGTGGAGGATATGCAGTGGCGGTGGGTGTGATTTTCCGTAGTTTGTTTGTGGTGCTTAAGGGGGCGGCGTTCTGTGGGGAGTTTTGCGTTCGTTGGGATGGATTGGTGTTATTTTGTTTCTCATCAGTGATGTATGGCGTTGGTTTGGGGGAATGTTATTATTTGTAAATGAGGAGGCGAAAGGGATGGGTTTGATTTATGGATTTGGAGGTTGTTTGGCGAAGGTTACTTACGCGGTGTATGCTTCGTGCTATGTGTATGTATGGTATATATACGCGCGATCTATCGGTGTATAATCTCTGAATAATAACAGTCTTGTTGGATTATCAGACTGGTATGATCATTTCGTCAAGAGTAGCCTATTGAGATCTAATCCACATCACCCACGTGAGCACAGAGAGTGGGAAAGGGGCGAGGGAAGGGAGTTTACAAGAAGCGAGAGCGACTCTCACCATGTCACTGTGCAGAAGACACTCGGCAGGACTAAACAGAGATAGTATGAATTCTATTAGGATATATAGTATGAACATGTGTTATCCGGGTCCCTTATAACAATAGCCCCAGGATCGCGACGCCCTGGATACCGACGATCCTGCCCCCGCTCACGATGAAGTTCTTTGGTGTCAATCCACCCTCTACAACGTCGAGATCTGAGTCGACGCCGCTGTACACGGGGGCTTTGTCGTTGTGAGGGTTGCCGGGGACGTGAGTGACGGTTGCAGAGCTGGAGGGTGGGCAAGGGTCAGAGGGTGTGTCGGTGTGCTCCTGCGCATCATAGTAGACATCTATATACTCTGTGGATTTCTCCATGAACGCTGGTATTGGTGCATGCTCTGTTAGAGTGGGCTGTGTTGACTGGCGGGTCTCTGCGGCGTCAGCACATTCGGAAGTCTTCTGGAGCAACACAGGCGCTGGGTTTCTGACGGCGTACTTGGTGTCCCATTGCGTGTCGAACCATTCGCGAATGTCTGCGATGGATTGCTCTGTTGCGGGATAGTCTTTCGTGGGTTTGAGTCGCATGCCGTGTCGGTCGCTACGGTCGAACTGGCGTTCGCTGGTTTCCAATGCCTTGGCTATCGCTGCGATCTGGGCTTCCAGGCCGAGCACTATTTCCTTTGGGAGCCAGTCGATGATGCGATCTAAGGCAATACCAGGGATGCGACGTGTGGCGAGAAGAGCTGACATTACGACCCGCTTCTTAGGTTCTTTCTTCGTACTGTTTGCGTACACAGGATCAAAATCCGGTATTGGGCCGACCTTTCCAGAGAACAGAACTTCCGGAACCGCGATGTCGAAACCTCCTTTGTCCAGAGCTTCCCTCGCGAACACCATGCACCTCTTGTACAGCTGATCCGATTTGTGGAAGTCGTACCACCGCAGCGACTCATCCACGTTGTGGTATGAGCGCACAAGAACGGTCCCGACGCCATATATCTCTCTCCCATAGTCTGATCTCCAGCGTCGGAACAGTCGCTGATCATCCGAACAGAACTGCTGAATTCCTCTCCAATATGCGACGCACTCAGGAGAGTAACTAGTCTGACGTACGCCGCTCCAAGCTCTGGGGTCAATATTGGGATCAATATAGTGTGGATTAGGGACGAAGTCCATCGCCGATCGACGATACACTCCATCAACATTGAAGTATGAAGAATCGACCTCGGGCAATTCGCATACGATGTTGTAGTCGTAGTCGAATGCTTCGAGTGCTTCCTCAGGCGTCATTGCTGTCAATGCTGATGATTCTGGTTTTGGAATTCGCGGCATTATATTGATAGCGCTCGTCTTTGGATGATTTCGCTTGTCAACTCAGTGGCTTACCGGGAATGTTCGTGATCTAGCGTGAGGGACATGGCCTTTATCAAGCCTTGGATATTGTCAGCGTGAGAAACTATCTGTGAACACAGAGTGACAAGCTTGTGATGTGCGAATTGAATATTCCCAGAAATATATATCAGGGCATGGAGCGAGATCGTGAGTGACAGCTGCTGTTTGTGACTGTCGCTCGTGATACTATCTTCTCTACGACAAACAATTTCCTGGGGCGTGCCACGGGAGTAAAAGTGATGGTGAAGCACAGTAATTATCATTTATGTCGCATAGAGTGATTATGGAGCGACGCGGTGCGCGTTGTGCCGGGCTTTCGCTCAATACCCGGTCCGCCATTATATGAAAGATCCAGAGAATCATGTGCAGGCATACTGGTGCTATTCTTGCGAAGGAACCGTAGGACATCATCATCAATGTATAGCATCTAGCTCGCACGTCAGTAGTAAGAGCATAGTCAGCTGGAAGGATGGCTTGTTTCTGTTTATTCACCACAGAAGTGAAGAAGTGGTGAAGGATGAGTATGAAACTCTAGATGAGGTCGATATTGCGCTCGCGCTAGACCGAAAACGACTAGTTGCCGCCCGCAGCGAGTCCACAAATCATAGTTGGAGACGGGTGGACCTCGGGAGCGACGCCTGGAAGCATAATTAGTAGCCTGAGGCGCAGAGGCTAAGGCAGCTAACGACTCTCTGTTGTCTGATTGGACAGCTAGCCAAGACGCTTCATCTGCATCAAGCGTCCACCCAGCGCGTACAGAAGCGTTTCTGTTTCCTTTCGCCCATCTCCACGTCTATGAAACTCTTCCCAGCGGGTAATTCGACGTCGCTCATGTCGTCCACTCATGCTAAGCAACGGCTTCCCTGCGAACGGGCGGCACTATAACCTTTGAACCAATTGCTGCCTTCTGCCTAGCGATGAGTCAAATCGCTTGCCTACCATGTCGACGCATTCCACGAATGAGAAACGCGACACACATGATATGCCTCCTGCGTAGTACCATATCCGGTCTGGATTCAATATGCTTTTGATGCCTCTCCAGCTTGTGTCCCCGTGCTCACGCGTTAGACGTCCATCGATCGCCATGGTCACTGATGTCCCAAGCTTCGACTGTCGTGTCTGGGCTAAGTAATAGTCGTCTTTCTTTACTTCCCTTTCTCTATTCATCTTCGTCTCTTCTCGTTACTCGTAGCTCTGTTTGATTTCGTTGAGGCAGATTGCTATTGTCGTGTCATTCACTTCATTCCTCAATAGCAGGACCTCACACAATTGCGTCTCGGCTTGTTGAAGCTAGCATCGAGCTTCCGGGCGGCTACAGGACGTACACCAGTATTTCCACGTTTCACACTGCTTAGGAGAGACGTTGTCGACCATACATATTCTTCGTAGAGTCGGTAAGCCTATCACTGGAACCGACGCCGAACCCATCTGTAACCTGTGCTACGCAACAGGATTACGAGTGCAGACACAGCCGGAACCACCGGTCGGCTATGTCAGGGCAACTTCCTCCTGCTCCACTTCGAAAAGATACGATATATCTGCAGAGACGTAACGAGCGAGACCAATCCCGTGAGCCGACCCACCAACAGTCCAACAATGAGGGTACAGAGGTCGCATTCGCAATGGAGAAGAACATGACATATCAGAACGTGTCTCACACTCGAAGTTCCAGTACCCAGAGCAACTCGGGCCTACTCGATCTCACGTCCTCGCACACGCAAGATGATACACATCCATACTCGGAAGACCGAGTCCTCACAAGGAAACCGTCGAGGATTTTCAAATACAAGAACAATGCTATACAGGGTTCCAAGAGAACGCTGCGAGCATCGCAGAAGAGGAGGCAAGCTGGCATAACAGTGGACACCGGGCATTCAAGACACAAGGGCATGACCCCGAAAGAGTTGCGGTACGGAACAGCGGCCGAGAAGCATGCTGGCTTGAGAATATTCGCGTCTCCGAGATCTGCCATGGATAGCCCTGTGCTAGGGTCAGAAGGCTGGTGGCGTTCGAGATCCAAGAAACGTGCGAGCAGAGCAGCAAGAGGAACTAGAAACCGAACGACATCCAACACCTCTGATAGAGGCGTAATTCCTGGTCTGGATGCTCTCAACGCTCAGAGTGCCACCGAACATTTATCACCTTCGAAATTGCAGTCTCTGGACATCTCCCCTGCCGACCGTCCTATCTTCATTGGCATGTCCGTAGCGCCAGAAGCATTGTCTGAAGTAGAGTCTGACATCGAAGCGAGGACTCGAAAGCGCAGCGACAGCGGTGATTCTCCGTTCACGCCGACTATTATCATCACTCCGGCCGTACAGAGGTCGCAATTTTCCCCAGATCAACACCCCCGACCAGCGTCTAGCGTGTACTCCAGATTCACAAGCGCAGCAAGGACCCCCTATACTGTGACGACATCCCATCCTCCCGTCCCCGCACTGCCAGATTTCGCGAAAACCCAGACGAACAACAATGTTGCTGCGGCAACTACAAAATATTTCAATTTTGAGAAAGGCGACAAATGGCCTCGGCGCATACGCGATTCAAACATGACTGACTTTGAAGAGGACGCTGATGATAGTGCCAATGTGCGCCGTAACCGTGTCATGTCAGGCGAAACCGTGTTTGAAGAGGACGATAGTCCTGTACGGAGAGACTTGATGGTCAGAAACTCGGGCATCACTATCGATACAAATGTCCCCACCCCACGAAGGTCCCGTGGGTGGTGGAATTACATTACGACACCATTCGACGCCTCCCATCCGGAGTCTTTATGGCCGCGGACTCCTGCAGACGATAAATCGGTTGGAACGCCTAAGGTATCCGAAGAGAAACCTCAAGTCCCGGCACTGGGCCTTCAAACTAGAATCGACATTCAGAGAGAAGCACCGCTGATTTCTGCATTCTCTGCCTCGACCGTGACAACTATGGCATCACCGTGGGGAAGAGGTGATGCAGAGAAAACCCCAGTGTCTCCAATAGGACTTTCCCTGTCGCCATCGCACACTACCTATGCGGGACCTGGTCTTTCTATTGCTGAGCAACTGTCTATGGCTCCGAGTCCGCCAAAGTCTGCAGCAGCAAGTGTCATGAATACTACACCCCCAGAGCTGCATCAGCCATCTCCGTCCGTAGATGACAGCCCTCCGAAGGATGTTGTGGCTAGGTCGAGCGCATGGCCTTTTGGCCAGACATCAACTACATACACGACTAGCTATGATTCGCCTTCACTGCAGCAGATTCCTGTGATGTCTATGACCACACCAGGTCCGGAGCTGGATGCGATGGAAGCGCGGACAAGTGAAGAGCGTGATCCACCACCTATGGTGGGGGCACATGTCTCGAACGGTCATAACAAAACCCGCGAGTCGAAGACTTCTGAGTCTTCGAGGTCACGATCGGTAGGAACTGCCTTGACGTCCCCGTACCATTCCCCAGCGACTTACGGCCCACGCGACACCGTTTTTCCAGGAAGCAAGACAGATAGCTCACATACGCAGCGCATGCAGCACTCTAACCACACTTCTTACCATAGTGGTGGTTCCAGGTCGATGAAAGGAGATGCCCTCAAGGTGTATACTGAGAAGGACTTTCTTCCGCCACCTCAAGCCGTGAAGAAACAGAAGTCCGACAAGCCTAAGCGCCAATGCAACTTGTTCAAGAAAAGGAGCGACAAGCCTGTAGACAAGAAGAAGCGGAAGAAACGCATGTGTATCATTTGCGGTCTCTGTGGGGGTGCCCTTATTGCCGTTATACTCATCGTTGTATTGGTCTTGGTCTTGACGAAGAAACACAAGCCAGATGACACGCCGATCCAAAGCCAGTGGCTAAACCTTACCAACTATCCGCCCATCCCAACCGGCATCTCGACCATCGCAGGACCTACTCTAGCGCACGAAGAAACTGGTTGTGTCATACCAGCAACGCAGTGGTCTTGCTCCTTACCAAAGGAGGAGCATGATTCGGTGGCACCAAATCGATCCGACCAACCCAACTTCCGCCTGATCATTCGCTACAAGAACGATACCGCGACCAAAACTCGTCGCCAGGACGACCTCTTCTCGCCGAATCCCTCGCCCCCTTCGGCTGAAGACCAAGCCTTCCTTGGCAATACAACGGACAAGAACGTCGAGCCGTTTGCTGGTGAAGACACCCCTTTCTTCATCTCCTTCATCACCCCTAGCGGCACTCCTTCGATCTCAAAGCGTCAGTCTGATGATGGCGATGTTGTACCTAACATTGAAGACATAATACCGCCCCCTGCAACTGTGTCTGGTGGCCTTGCAGCACCTGCAAATCTGCTTCCGCTTCCAGTTGCACAACCCCTTCACCTCTACAACCGCGGCACAGTCGATGAACATTACGGCTTTTACACGTATTTCGACCGCTCGATATTCCTAAAGGACATCAATGCTACGAGATCGGGATTTGGCGGGAACCCAGCAGACCAGGACGGGGGGTCAAGCTTCGACAGCGCGACGCTGCGTTGCACATGGGCGCAGACACGCTTTCTGGTACAGATCTGGACGAACAGCGCCTCGACCAAGCCGTTGCTGCAAGCCGCCTCGGGCACGCCAACATCAACATCTTCTGCGTCCACTCCATCGTCCTCGTCCTCGGCAAACGACTTTGTCACACCCGGCTCCTTTCCCTACCCGGTGACCATCACGCTGGACAGGCACGGCGGCGCCGCTGCCAAGAAGCTGGTATACTGCTACGGCATGGACGCGTCTGGCAAGATCGAGCCGAAGCGCAGCACCATCACGCTCGAGGATAGGTCCTTTGGCGGGGTCGCCGTGAATGGCAACAAGGGCCCGTTTACCAACACCACCGTCAGCGTGGGCGATGGTGGGCCTGGGGGCCTTGATGGCGGCAGCGGGGGCTGTGGCTGCTCGTGGGTAAACTGGGCGGGCGCAGGCACGTGATGAGTGAGACTTCATGTGTGTTGAGGGGGTGGGTGAAGAAGCAAATACTACTATTATCCTCTTTGTATACATATTTCTGTTTGTGGGGTGGCTTGGTGGAATCTTTTCTGTTGCATTGCGAAGGGGCGTGGGCATGGCATGATATGGTGTGGCATGCGTAGATAGCTTAGTTACTTGGGTACGTATTAATAGTCTGCGAGACAGATGTGTGTATACAGTGGCTAGTCATTTTCTGCTTGGGCCCGTGATGCTGCTGCGAGTGGAAATGGATGGCTCTGAAAGTCTGACATGTACGTGTCTCTACAGCTCTCATTCGTGTTGGCCAAGACATCCTGTCTTGTTCTTGTCCCTTGACGAAGGCCTGAGGACTTTATTGTCCGCTGGGGTCTTGTCCGCTGGGTCTTGTCCACTCTGCTCCGTAGTCAATGTATTATGCTATTTTACAGATATATACATACATATACATATACAAGCCTGAACTAAACCTAATCCCACACCAACGCCATCACCGCAAAAGCATAAGATAGATAGTCACTCGTCTAAATCTACCTCTTGACCTTCAGTCCGTCATTAGTGCTTTTATATCTTAAGTAAGTAATCTTTGACGTACCCATATATGTCCGCTACGTACCCAGCACACAATCTACCCTACTAGCTAGTCCACTCATTCACTGACCCACTCAAACACACGCTCTCTCTCCTTCACTTATATACTTGATATTGGCGTTGACTAGTTCATGGACTATCTGGCTCGTTGATGCTTGATCCCTGTGTTGGGGTCTCTTTCCTTTCTTTCTTTCTTTCTTTATTTCTTTCTTGCTCTCCTTCCTTCCTTGCTTTCTTTCTTTCCTTACTTCTCGCTGAGAACAAGAACATGCACCGGAACTGTCGATGCGACGATTCGGCAAATGGGACGAGACCGCGCATGGATCCACAAGGACACAGGCGCTATGCGCTTGCTCGCTCGCTCGCTCGTTCGCCCGTGCTGGGCTGGGCTATGTTTGAGCATGTCCCAGGACCGCAGTGCGTATCATGCATGCGTGTGTTTGGGGGGTTGGGGTTGTGCGTTGTGTTGTCGACATGTATTACCATTGTGCATTATCATTATATAGTGCTGCTGATCCACGACACTGAAACTGACGCTACTGATTGGATAACTACCATCATACAACAATGCCAACCATCACCATCACTACTAATCCACACAAACACGCATCTGCTCAAAATTCATGAAAGCGTCGATTATAGTTTCCAAACACTTGGAACACGCAGTGCCACATCCTTTCTATCTTCCATTGTAGAAGCAAGGGTTATACTGGTCTTCTACTCTTAGATAGAGAAGGGGAGATAGGAGAGGGGGATGGGTATTTATAGGGGTTGGTTGAAGGGCCGGGGTTAGTAGGGGTGTGTGCCGGGTTGGCCTGGGCATGTAGCGGGTCAGTCTAGATATTGCGTGATTCAACTTGACTAAACTAAGTAGTTAACTGACAACTGACTGAATCATTCACAGGACGAATGGCGTGTTTATGCTAGATAAGATGTATATAAATAGATAGATTTGTGAGTCCTTAAGTTTTCGGGTAGAGTGTAACTACATACGTGTTATAGGGTTACTACGACTAGTTCTACTACTGCTACGAACGAGAACGACTCTGATCATGCTGCTGTCTATGCTATTGATGGTAATGCACTTTATCATCATCACCACACACCACACACCACACACCAACCCCCAAACATACAAACAAACAACAGCCTCCCCACACCATGCCATCTCAACGATACACACACCCATGGGCCATGGATTTTCTACTCTGAGAATGAGTAGCGCCGGGCCACTACAATAATGCTCATGTCTCTTCTTATTCTGGGAACATGCTTGAACTGTGCCATATAGTTCCTTATAACCAACCCGTGCGAAACGCATTTGCACTGTGGGTTTTGGGGTTGGGAATGGGGGGAGGGAATGGGGGTTGGTATTTATAGGTGGTATGTGTCGGGTTGGAGGAGGGGAGGGGAGGGTAGGGTAGGGTAAGTGGGTTGGTTGTTAATATGTGCCGGGTTGGTCTGGGTGGTCTAGTCGTTCTACTTAGTGTAAATGTAGGGTAGTTCGCGTGACTTGAGTTTGACTGGGTGACTTACTTATTCACTGAACGCCCAACGAAGATGTGTGGTAGCCTGACTGGCTGGCTAGCTAGCTGGGTACGTCTTAACACGTACGTGCTACTAGACATACATGTTAACAATAGGTGGGTTAATACGTATCCTGTAATTCTTACACAAGCCTGTCATACTCTTCTCCTATCATACCCTTCTCATATCGAGCACGTACACGTCAACCCGACGCGTCAACCCGGCACTAATTAGTAAGTCAGCGTATATACATCTATATAAACCCCCCTCCTCTCTCCCTCCTCCGTCCCTCCCAACCAACCCCCTCAACCCCACACGCACCGCAACAGGTCTTAGTTTATGCTGCGGTCGCCGCGGCGGTGGAACTATATGGATTCAAGGTGTGCGTTGTGGGGCTCGGTTTGAGGGGAAAGAGGAAGGGGAAATTATGGACAGGGACGGAGGAAAAAGGGAGGTGATGGGGGATGAAAAGGCAAAGCAAATGATGTGAGAGGTTTTGGAGGGGGGAGAGTGAGGGTTGTGGGGTGTTGGGTGTTGGTGGTGATAAGTGGTATTTGGTCTTGATGATGATGATGACTATGAGCGATGACGATAGTGAACAGTAAACAGCATCTGCAAGAGCGCAGCTCACACATCTCACCCTCCCATACCCTCCCCAACAGAGCAGTATTCGCAATCCCACGCACCAAGGCCACATCTACGCGCCACCAAGCCACCACGATCCACAAACTCAGGTCTTGAAAACGCTATTTACCGCGGATGTGTGCGTGTACAACCTACGAGGTAGATATATCAGAGATTATATACATGCGTAGCAGTCATTCGATTCCTATGTTCCAACCAAGGCTATCTACCTCCCCCTCGAATTATCCCACATCAAATCAAACCCACTACCACTTCCAGGTCCAGACCTAGCCCCAGAGCTAGCCCCAGCCCCAAACGACACTCTCTCCCGCTCCGGCTCGTCGTCCATCTCCGGCTCCGGCGCTACGACTTGCAAGTCGGCTCCGTCGTCGGATTCTGTGTCGTAGTCTTCTGGGTCGGACGCGGGTGTGGGGTTTGGAGAGCCTGCTGCGGGTGGAGAACGGGGTGTTGGTGTTGAAGTTAAGATAGGGTGGTTTGAGTTGTTGTGGGATGATGAGGAGCCGGGGCGTTCTAGCTCAGGGGAGAGGAGGGCTTTTTGTTCTTTGGGTTGGAATACTGATGGGTGGGGGTGTGTTGGTAGGGGGCGTGTGAGAGGTGCTTTGGGTCGTTGGGGGAGGGAAGGTGTTGGTTCGATGTCTGTGTCGAGGAGGGATGAGAGGAGGTCGCTTGGTTTTGACGAGCTTGTTGAATGATGTGGCTGAGGACTGGTAGACATCAGGCCTTGCCCCCCTGCTCCTGACGGGCGCTGCCACTCCGGCGTGGTGTTCTCGTCGACGTCGATATCGAGCAACGGCTTTGTGCTGTCCACCATCACGATACCATGTCCGCTGTCCTGCGCCTTGACCATCGTCTCGACGTCGACCTTTTTTCTTTCCGCCATTCCCTGCTTGCCCTTCTGTTCTTGCTTCCGCATTCTCTGCTCTTCAATCTCCCTCTCAACCACATCCCTATTCACATCCTCCCACCCAATTCTCAGCAGTACCTGTCCAACAAGATCCTTATAGCTCGTGTGCCCGTCCACCGCACCGCCCAGATCCACATTCTCCACACCCTCCACGCCCCTCACCTTCTGCAGCCCGGCAACACCCCATTGCAGTGCCCCAGCACGATACACCAGCCCAAGAATCCAATCATCGCCACTATACGCATTCACAACCCTCCCACACACCACCGCCCTCACCTTCCGCCACTGCCCTTCGTCCGCGGGCACCGGCGCACCCATAAACACCACGCTCTCCACCAGCCCGAACGCGCCACACTCGGCCAGCCTCAGCAGCGCAAACCACAACACTCGCGCACCCAGACTGTAGCCCACGAGACTGACCGGGCGCTCGCCCTGGACACGGTCCATGAGTGCCTGGGCAAGCACGGCGCCCGCCTTCTCGCTGCGACTCTTGGCCACGGCCCACGGCGAGTCGAGCATGTTTGCCGTACGGATCAGGCCGATGGGCATCAGGCCCGCGGCGATGCTGGAGAGTAGGGTTGCGCGCAGGACTTCCCAGGTCAGGGTGTCGACGGCAAATGATTGGATGAGTGTGGCGAGGTTGGTGCCTAGGCGGAGCAGGGCGTCCGTCTCATACTGGAGGGCGAACGGTTCGGTGGTGTGTGAGTCGAGACAGTTCCAGGGCTGGGTGATGTCGGCAGCAGAGGTGAGGAAGCCGGATATGGCGATTGTGAGGCGGAGGTGGTGGGTGCGTTTTGCTTGGATGATTGCAGAGTCGTTGGGATGGCTTGCTGGTTCAGGGGATTGATCATGCCCTGGAGCTTGTCAATAAGAAAATCACGACGCTGGAGTGGACAAGTACCATGTATTGGCACAAACTGGAATTCTTCAACATCCTTGGCGTACTTCTCCACGATGCCACCCGTCATCTTCCCTCCATAGGCACCAAACAACCCCCCTATCAGGAAAAAATTGGTGGCTAGAGGTCCCAGTAGAGTAGCCAGAGCACCGAGTCCCAGGCTCCCCATAACACCGCCGATAGCACCAGCAAGTATAGGAGCCGCAAGACCGCCAGTGACTCCAATAAGTACAGCTCCACCGACTGTCGCCAGACCAACTTTCCATTTCCGCGACAAAACACCGTCATCGGACTGCTTTTGTTTCGCTTCCTCGGCAGACATCTGTGAGGCAGCTGAATCCAGTAGACCGCGTGCTACTGTCGCTTCACGCTCAGACAGGACACAATCAGACAACCGGAAGCTTTTCTGCAAGTACTGCAGTAAAATCCGCGAGTAGGCATGATAGTGCTCCAGACTTAGCACTAGCAGTAACATGCAATGTAGAACAAGAACTCGCTGCGGCTCCTCAAGCTTAGTGATGTTCGTAGGTATCGAGCGGACGCGAAAAGTGTACTCTAGCTCGCTATCTGCCGGCTCGTCAGCAGCAGCATCCTCTCCCTGAGCCCAGGCGTAGAACCTCGCTTCTCTACGCTTCGTAGCTGCAGCGTCTGCTTCAGCAGATGCGTTTCGGCGAGCAATCCGCACTTCCTCAGATCGAACCGACAGGACTTCGCCAACTCGCTTCAGCACCTTCATACGCCACCCGTCAAAATCGGCAAGTGCCTCTTTCTGGAAACGCTGCATCTCCGGTGTCGATAATTCGGCTTCTCTGCGACGCCGGTTCTGCTCAATCTTCGCTCTTTCGTCGGTCTTCCGGTCGTCGACGTCGAGCAGAGAGTCTGCACCTGAGGAAGCACGTGACAGTGGAGCTGAGACATCGAAATTGGCCAGAAGGTTTCGACGCATGTTGTCGGCGGCGAGACAGACCAGCAGAGCGAGATCGACGCGTTGTGCTTTCGTGTTTAGGATAGTGGTCAGCGACATGTCGTCCTCTTTCTGCGAGGAGGCGCCGCGGCCTGCGTTGCCCCAGCCGGAGAACATGTTGAACGCTGTACTTCTGTTCTGAGCTCGCTATAATGATGTGTTACTTGAAGGGACCTGTGATGCGAGCCCTTCAATTGTGGCTTGTTGGTGGAAAGGTTGTTGCTTTGCCAAGAATACGTCCAATGTTGGCTTGGCTGCTGCCTGAATATCAATCCTCACGACCAGGACACGGGAATATTTGCGCCATCGTTTTCCTGATGGTAATCGCAATGATATCAGACGTGGAAACAGAAATATTGGAAGTGTTGTTATTCGTTTTCTGAGCAGCGATGATACGTGATCTGTGGAAGGAGGATAGATTCAAGGTTTCATCTATGCTTATGGTGGGGCACACGAGCGATGTATTAGTTCGGCAGATCCCGACACAGTGAAGATTCGAAGAATGGTGGTGCAGGTAGATGGCATTCTGAACTTTTATCCTATTAACCAAGCATCAATTACCTCATCCTAGACAATGAGCCCATTTTCGGGTTCGCTGTACTTGGTGGATAGGTCGACCGAATCCACCTTGTTACCGATCTTTACCTTGACAGAGTTGAAATGGACGTTCATGCTACGGAGACTGGACATGAGATCTGTTACGTTGCTAGCTTCGTCAAAGTTCGGTCCACATATGGGTTGCAGTGCCCAAGCCAGACTGACGTGAAAGCAGTGCGTGCGGTCAACAACTTCAACAAGGCTGTCGCTGCGACTACTACTGCCATGATGCTGCTTTTTGGTTTTGACAGAATGGTCGTGCAGCTCTGCCTCTTTATCATCGTATAGCTGATCCAAGTCCAAGGACGCTGCAGCTCGATTACTCGCGTCCAAGAGACGGTTAAGCTCGTCGCTGTCTGGTCTATCGATGCCAGCGACTAGAAAGTAACGCGTACGCGAATGATTGGGTACCCACCTCAGTGAGGTGAACTTGATATGGAAAGGTCGCACACCACTTTGCTTGAGACTCACGACAGTCTTCGTGTAGAAGCTATCCTTCTGCGCCGTCGTCAGGGTTAGGGAACGAGAGAGGGAGATATGTAGCGGAAGGGACATCTGAATATCGGAAGTAAGCAGACTCGTAATGCGTGGACGTATTGGTGTATCTCCCGACGGGCGCCGAGGCGAATCTCCGGCCGTCTTGCGAGCAAAGTCCACGAGACTATTGAGAACTGTGGACTCGGCAGAGTTCGGATGCCCTCGGAGTCATAGTTAGTCATTACAGGCACTGCTGTATACCATAAGCAGCTATACGCGGTACGCAACTTACATTCCAGATAGACATGGGAGGGCCAATTTCCTTGTCTGTGCGGCACGGCCCTGATGCGGCCGCCATGCAAGGCTGGATCGTCTTCTGTAGTGGTCCTCGCGTTATACGAGTACAGGTCGTGAAATGAGTCTGGAAGTGGTGGCAGATCGGATGATGTGGAGTTGTCGTGTTTTCGCTTCAAGGCGTTGTTGGTGTTGGCTTTGCGTGGCAGCGGCTGGGCGTCTTGGAGGTCATCGTCGTCCGAGTCGGAATAGTCGACGAGGCCCATTACATGTTCTTCTTCTTCTTCCTCTTTTCCTCGTGCTCCGGATTCGGGATGACAAGGCTGACGGAGGTGGATTTGCGTAGACGTGTACCTGACGAGGAAAGGGAAAAGAGATGACGTTAATCCCGGGCGATTTAGAGGGATTCGATCTGCAGACCCTTTTCTTATGGGACTACTATTGTGTAGCGGCGGGCTGGGCTGGCTGGACTGGGCTGGAATACTGTAAGCGGGCGGGCTGGGGGCGCTGATTGGCGTCTAATTGGCGTCTTTTTGGGGAGGGACCCGCCCTTTTCGGGGGATGGACCCGCCGATTTGGAGGGAATGACCCTGGCGGCGGGCTGTTGGGCATGACGTAGCGCGGATTGGCCCATGCAGTGTATGTACCTGCCACGCGTCATGGCCCGTCAGGTCGTGGCTTCCAAATCAACACGAGGCTGCCCGCATCCGCATCTTAATAATATCTGCGGCCTCGTGCTGCACCCCCGGTTCTGCATTTGACCTTGTCCGTCCTATTTACTGTACTCCTCTGCTTCTCACTTCCACCTCTCGCTCTCTGTACAGCTGCAAAAGCCTCCTCATTTGTGTTTCATTGTCGTCTGACACTGTCCTGATTACATTATACTACCACTAGAATGGGCGAAGACAAAGCTTGGGTAAGCAATCAGCTCTCTTCCTATCCCATCATGTTCGATAATTGACACTTGACAGGCAAAGGCCTATGTCCTCGATCCATTAAGCGGACCTGATCCAAGCGATGAGACTGGTCCTGGATCACATTTCCGCTCCACATATGATTCACTTCCTCCGTCTCCGGCATCCGATTCGTCCAAGACTCCACAAGTAGCTGTCCAGACTACCGGTGGAAGCTCATCCACGAACCCATTCAAACGCAACACAAACTCTCACTCCCGAGCAAGCTCAAACCCTTCATACCCTACTCCGCCAAGCTCTACAAGCCCACGACGAGAACAGTTTCCTGTTTTGCCAGACCACGGCTCACCAAGTCATTTGTCTCCAAGCCAGTCGCACGGCAGGGATGGACCGTCCGGGCATAGACGCCGTGGGAGCTCGCTCAATGAGAGGTACCCTGGCGATCCTACAGTTCGCCCTCTCGACATGCTCCGCAAAGATACCAAGCGGGCACACCGAGCACCACATCTCCGCAAAGCAAACCACATTGGTCCTGATTTGATCGATCGCCTCGATCCGACCATGACGTATCATCATGAGAGCCCCTATGACGCCGCGTCAATTGCTCGCAACCAACAGAAAAAGTACAGCCCTATTGCAGCTCTCGAGTCGAGCAACAAGGAGGCCTTGAAAGCAACTCCTCGTGAAAACATTCAGAATGCAGTCCAACGCCATCGTCCACTTGAAGGCGTAGCGACTGTCCCTCCAGGGATGGAAGATCGCTTCGGACGCAAGTACGATTACGAAGAAGGTTCCGACATGCAGCGTGAAAACGGTGGCGACTATAAGCGGTGGCCGGGTCTGGTGAGTTCAACCACGTGTTCTTGTAATGTAAATGTACATACTAATCCCGCTCAGCAATATCACCCCAATGATCTCAAGGGCAAAAGCGAGCCGTCGTACACCATTGAGAAAGCACTGAAAGATCACAAGGCGCGCGGAGGTGATGTCGAGATGACGTCCCGAGCACGCAACAAGAGTCTAAACCACACCGACCGACCGAGCAGCCTCAACGGACACGCCGCGAGTGGTATCGATCGCAGCAACAGCACCGGTGCCAACGTCACATCCGCACTCAAGCAGCGCCTGCACATCGGCCGCAAGCCTGTCACTCAGAACTAACATGATCCATACTCAAGAACAATCTACTCCGTCATGTACGATACGACTTAGTAACTGGACGAGTAACTAGAATAGGCGAGAAAATGGAGGAATTGGATTACACAATGGAGTCTTGGATACCACAAAACGTTGATGATCATCACACTGCCTGGACATTATTGCTCCACGATATATCTATATCTTTTCAGAATTAACGACGCCACGAGTCTCCTTATTGCTTCATAGTAGTGTGTATATTATATATAGAGAGAGGAAAGATTTGGATATACCGCTTTGTACGTCATGTTCGTGTCATGTGTCAACTAACTGTGTCTCGTATTGGAAGAGCATTGTAGCGTTCCATGTCGTCAATCAGCCCTACACACTCTTCATCAATGAACCATGTCACTAGATTTTGACTTGACTCTCAAAATTAACAAGACATAAACGTGCGGTACTATGCATTTTCAGTTGATACGACTATACACATATAACTATCTATGTGTTCCCCTTCACCAACCAAACCAAACCAAATCCATTCATCCATCCGTCCATTCATCCATCCGTCCATTCATCCATCCGTCCATTCATCCATCCGTCCATTCATCCATCCGTCCATTCATCCAT